AATCATGCAAGGCAAGTTTTTTGCGAGGCGAGGCAAAATTTTTGCGTTAAAATGTATCGTATGGCGGATTTAACGTAACACGATGCCATCATAAGGCAGGGTCCACTGTACTTAGTTTATATTCCAAGACAATAGTAAATGACCAAGGCAGGTGTAAATGTCCACCTGTCAATGTGTTTGTCACAATTTGAGTACAATTTCAGTACCTAATACTAGTGTCAGAACAAAGATTGGTTATGAAATGACAAGAACTACTATAAATTGTAATTATCAGAACATAAAAATATACATAAAATATGAAAAATAGAAAAAAAGGTATATCGGCAACACTTCTGCAAGCAGCAGGACTCCACGTTGCCGTCACATGAGCATCTAGTGCCAACTTCTCTGCCTCATGTCTCTGTAAGTACTGACCCTATTTTTTTTTATTCTAAAGCACTAAAAAAATGTGCTCTTTTTTTTTCTATAAAAAAAAAGGATTTTTTTTTTTTCAAAATAATCGGGGCGCTGCGCGAGTGAACATATATATACGTTTGGACCATTTAACGGTTAACCCCTGCCAGTTTGGATTTAGGCCAAGCAAAAGCGCAAATGATGCAATTATACACATGCTCAAGCTACTATATACGGCACTGGAAAAAGAAGGAAATTCCAATGGGCCTCTTCATAGACCTATGGAAAGTATTCGATGCAGTTGCCCACGATCTCTTGCTCCTAAAACTTGAACATTACAGCGTCACAGGACCCTCACTCAATTACCTTAAATCATATCTAAGCAATAGACATCAGTACATATACACAAATGGTGTTGCCTCCACCACACAACCAGTTCTAGTTGGAGTCCCTCAGGGCAGTATCCTTGGACCACTACTCTATCTCATTTACATCACTGACCTCCCTAATGCCTCCAAACTACTTAAACCTATTCTTTATGCAGATGACACTACCTACATCTTTTCTCATCCAAACCAAACCATACTTAGAAACACTGTGAATGATGAACTGCTAAAAATATTCACCTGGATGGTGACCAACAAACTTCCTCTCAATATTGACAAAACATATTTCATACTGTTTGGTAACAGAGCTGCAAATATTCGGCTAAACATATCGATAAATGGTTTCTCCATTTCAAGACACACAGACGGAAAATTTCTAGGGTTCCAGATTAACATCTGTCTTAAATTTCAGACCCACATACAGCATATTTTCCATAAAATCTCCGAAACAGTAGGCATCCTCTCTAAGATACGGTACTATTTACCCCAAATGGCACTTCTTGCTCTTTACCACTCTCATCTACCCTTACCTATGGTATTTGTGCATGGGGTTCAACCACAGCAAATCACCTTAAACCTGCAATTATACAACAGAAAGCTGCTGTGAGAATGATAAATTCCTGCCCCAGGCAGCACACCCCACCGCTATTTAAGAGCTTGAACCTGCTTAACGTACAAAATATCCACTTATATTATTGTGCCTACTACATACACAACATTATTCTCCAATATAAACCCTCCCCTCAAACTCCTTGAAAACTACAATAGAACGCACTTGCATAACACAAGACAAAACACTCTTTGATATCCCTCGTGTCCATCTCTCCCTATGCAAAAATGCAATGCATATAAAGGGTCCTAAGATCTGGAATTCATTGCCTGAAAATACAAATGGGCCCCTACCTGCACACCAGTTCAAGGCACTACTTAGAACTCACTTCACCTCCCAAAACTAACACAAATACTATATATTATTGCCACCATCAACCCAAAACTTGCCAAATTTTATAAATTATTTCAAAACTAAAATTGTCTCAATCTCATTATGTATAATGTGCTAAAATATAATACTGTAACTACCTTTGTTGATAAATAAAATATCAATGTTCAATTCGAACCAACTATGATATATATGTCTAGTATTGGGTATAGTCTACAATGCATTAGGTTTAGTCTGCTCGAAATGCCTAGGCATGATAGTGGGTTTCTTTGCACTTGCAAATCAATAATGTAATTACACATTGTAAAATATGCAAGGAAATAAGACTCCTTATAACATGTCAGTCACACATTGTAAACTTTGCAAAGAAATAAAAATTTGAATTTGAATGAAGCAGATTCATAATATGCTCACTGCAATTCCTACACCCACGTCTCCAAGTTTTTCTTGTGAATATCAATCTAAACCAGTTTAGAATAAAATTTAGAGAGATTTTGTTTAAAATTAAGCCGAGTATATACAGTGGGCCCTCAACCAAGGGCATTAATCCATTCCAGAGGGCTCGCCATTGGTCGAAACTGCCGTTGGTCGAGTTAATTTTCCCCATAAGAAATAATGGAAATAGAATTAATCCGTTCCTGACACTCCAAAGTCTGAAAAAAATATTTTTACATGAAATATACATTTCCTTATATGGAAAGGAATGGGACATGCAAAATAAACAATAATTAAATGCCACTTACCTTTATTGTGGAGTTGTTGATGAGTGATGTGCCAGCAGCAGGGGAAATTCAGGATTGTCTGTTGCTTGGAAGGAGAATCCCCTTCCATAAAGACTTCAGGTACCAAGTCCTTTGATGGGGTTACCTCCCTTCTTGGTTTTTTAATACCACTAGGACCAGCTTGAGAATCACTGGACCACCCTCTAGCACCATCACTACCACCCTCTACCACCATCACAACCACCCTCTACCACCATCACTACCACCCTCTACCACCATCACTACCACCCTCTACCACCATCACTACCACCCTTTACCACCATCACTACCACTCTCTACCACCATCACAACCACCCCCTCCACCATCACTACCACCCTCTACCACCATCACAACCACCCTCTACCACCATCACTACCACCTCCTACCACCATCATTACCACCCTCTACCACCCTTTACCACCATCACAACCACAACCACCCTCTACCACCATCACTACCACTCTCTACCACCATCACTACCACCCTCTACCACCATCACTACCACCCTCTACCACCATCACTACCACCCTCTACCACCATCACTACCACCCTCTACCACCACCACTTTCGTATTTATCTACAAACTTTTTCTTGAATTCTATCGTGTTTCTCACATCCTTTACCAAAGGGCTGGCTCTAGAAGCTTTCGTCGGGCCCATGGTGGCTTATTTAGCAGTAACAAGCACTAGAAACAGTGGAATAGTCCAAAATGTATGGGAGGCACATGTGGAAACCGACTGCAACAGCTTGTAAACAATGGCACACTGACATCGTTGGTAAAGTTTTTCGCCGTTGGTTAAGGCATTTTTTTCTACGGCAAAAAGCGCTGTTAGACGAAATTGCTGTTACTTAATGCCCCCATTAGTTGAGGGTCGACTGTATCATCTTTTCACTCTGGGTATGATATTCAAATAGAAACTAACCCGTAGTGCTGTATTTCATTCAGATTAGTCTCACTAAATTTCCCACAACTTTAATCTCTCTTCTTTAGTTTCACCTTTTCTTACGAGTCAATATAAATCACTTTAAATATTGCTGTAAAGAGATAGCATTAAAAAAATAAATTGTATATTGCCCTGCCATCTGGTCATTATAGAAGTGAGAAGTCATTAATCAGGGAGTGGGGGATCTTCCACAGGATATTTGGTTGCTGTATGAGCCAAAGGTGTTATTAAGTAGAGGAATGATCACAGGCCGTTTCTTGGTTGTTAATCAAAATTATGCTAAGTGATTGGTCTTTAAGCAAAAGTAATCAGCTTTGATCTGAGGACGGGGAGTCTAGGTCCAGCCCTCGTTCGTGACCCCTCATCAAAATAAGTTAAATAAGTTATTATAGAATACAGCCTCTCCTCACGTAACAATTTAGTTCCATTCCTGATATCACATCATTAAACAAATTTGTTGCTAAGTGAGGAGCTTACTATAACAGTAGTGAGTTTGTGTCACCAATCTCAGATAATGTTTCAATGTCACCTTTGCACCATTTATAACATTTCTGGTGTATTTTTAGATGTTTATACAATAGTGTACTGTAGCATATTGAAATAAACAGAACAGAGGAAATCAGCTCTAATATACATTATTTAGGTATGAATACTGGTTAGAGAGCCCGTCGTAAGTCCAAGGCCTCGGTAAACGAGTACGTCGCTACGTGGGGAGAGGCTGTACAACATTGAATGGAACCCATGGCTCGATTAGCAATACTCTAGCCTCACACAATGAGTGTCCACAGTTCACTCTCTAGCAAAGGCAGAAACGATGGCCATGTTTCCTTACATCTGTTGTCCCTGTTCACCTAGCAGTATGTAGGTAGTTGACTAGTGTAGAGCCACATCCTGGGAGACAAGAGTAAAAGATCACAATGGAAATAAGACAAACAGTCCTCGAAGATGCACTGACTTTCTTGGGTTATTCAGTGTAGATAACCCTCCATGTTAAAAATTCGAACAAATAGTACCTTTACCTGAATAAAAACTAACTTGGATAAAGGAGATTTAACCAACAACAGAACCCTCTCCCCCTCCCCCCAACCTTAAAGAATCCTCATTCTAGATACTTTTATAGCATTTTAGATTAATATTACATTCATGGGGGAAGCATTAAAACCTCAGGGGTCACACAGCACCTGTGGGTATGAAAGGCATTCAGGCATAAATCAAGTTATTGGAGAACAGATCAAGTTTATTTAGGCACAGATACACATGGGTACAATTATCATATGTAGAGTAAATTACGCATTATTATTATGGGGGAGCACTAAAACTGTAAGGATTATAAAGCACCTGTGGGGGGAGGGGGGATGGAAAGCATTCAGGCTCAAATAAATTATGCATGATAACCCAAAAAAAGTCAAAGTAACTTATTTATATTGGGGTCCTCCACCAATTCCTTCTAACAAGAGCCCTTCACCAACATCAAGGACCCTCCCTTGAGAGATTTTCAAAGTCACAATCAAGCGCTAAACCAGTCATATAGCCTTGAGAGAAAGAAATCTTTTTCGAGACAACAAGATAGCTCACCTTTCTTCCTCTTCCTCCTGTTGCTTGTGGTAGTGAATGTTGGTGTCCCGAAGATAACATAGGCAGTGATGATGATTGCTCCCAGCAGCAGTGCTGACGTACGGAGGTTCATCACCACCTCCACCATCATCACCACCACCACTTACTCTACTTTCTAGCACAGTCAAAGCTTCTAGTGACTCCACCAACTCGCCATGAGTGTCCGTGGTGGCCGCAAACTGATCATCGTCACTTCAAGGTCCATGAATTTCTCTGGAAGAGCTCCGGGCTCCTATTTCCCTTACCTGTACAAGTCAAATTAAAAACAGCTTATATAACATATACAATATTCTTTTTCTCAAAACTTATGACTACTACTTCTAATATAACACTTATAATTAAAAGTATATCTACTTACATGAAAGAAGATTTATCTATATAATCTTAGTTTTACATAAATCATGAAAAAGTATAAATTTTTCGCCAGATTATAACCTCAGTATAAAAGCAGGCTTCCACGAACGAAAGTATTCGTAAAGTTTCTTAAATGATCGTTCAGGAGGAAGGTTACACCTTAGTCTGAAGTGTTTCAGCCTCGTGAAATTTACTAAAAAATTACTTTATGGAGGCCAACTTAGTTAGCGGAAATAAATTACACATAATAATGATTTATTCTAACATTTATCACAATAGCAAGTGAAAATGTCACTAACTACATATGTTGCAGTGCATGATAATTTGTATAACTGTACTTAAATAAACTTACTAACCCATCATAACCAGTGAAAACCTATCAATTAGTGTCATGGGGGAGCGCTAAACCCGTAGTGAAAACCTATCAATGTAACTTATTTCCACTGGGCCTAAGTATTATGAATAAGAAATCAGTTGAATGTTACAAGAAATCATTTTCCGCCTTTTATTTATTTATTTATTTATTTATTTATTTATTTAGTTATTTATTAATTTGAACATGATACAGAGAGGTACGAAAGAATACAGTTAAATGCAGCATGCCAAAGCCACTTGAATGCATAGCATTACGGGCAGGCTTAAAATTAACTTAAGATTAACTATGCAATAAAGTATTCAGTGGTAAAACATTATTGTAAACAGATAACAATTAAGCATAAATGAGTATTACAAAAACAGGTCGTATGGTGGCTTGCATTGCTGTACAATCAGTATTTATTATTTATTTATTTATTTATTTATTTAATATGAACATTCATTAGGAACTTTTGTAGATTAGATTTTGCCACCGAAGTTGCTAGTTTATTGTGCACCCCATATCCATCCTGTGGACGGTAGCGCGAGAGCATGTGGATACACAAAAGGCCTAGGAACTAGGCCCCAAAGGGTTAACAGGAATACATATGGATTTATATCTACATATCTATAGTTCACTTATCTGTTACAAGCAAATTTAGGAAATTTGCTTAGTATATCTGGTATCTTATTTTCATTAATAAGATATCTTGACATGTCACATAGGTTATTATACTGTCTGTCTCTGTATTCCTCAATAAGTGGACAATTAAGCACATAGTGTTCAAGAGAGTGACCATATGCCTGATCATATAATTTACATTTAGTTTGATCATCATCTGTGTGTCTCCCAAACTGCCAGAAGTACTTGTAACCAAGCCTAAGCCTGGCCACTACAACATCAGTCAGTCTGTTCACATTGCAAGTTGCTCCATAAACATACTTATCTACGTTCATGTTATCATAGTGGGTTATAGATCTACTCAGGCTTCTAACTGCATTCCTATAACAATCATCTTCATTATTTACTTCTCTCCTAATATTATTCCTAATGCGAGACACAGTTATACCAAAGTTATATTCTACATTCTCCTTCTGGGTACTCTTCTTGGCTAACATATCAACTTTATCATGAAGGAGTAATCCAATGTGTGAAGGGATCCATAGCAACTGTACATTAATTCCTTTGTCCCTAATTTTTGAGTATCTATACCTGGCTTCTCCAATGAGCATGTTATTGGAGTCATTATGGTGCCGAGAGAACAGTGCTAATACGAATTTTCAGGTGATTCCTTTCCTCTAAATAACTTATCTTTATTTCACAAAAAAATAAAGTTTGTTAGCTCTTGGAATGTTGCAAAAAATCTGCCCTTTACTCCCACATAACTCCCAAAGTATTTGGAATATTTCCAAAAATGAATAAGGTTAAATTAGAGAAATCATTATTCTACAATTTCTGTGAATATTATTTCATTTAATTAAGTAATAAAGGCAGAACGATGTACCATAAGTGAGTAAGTTACTTCCGAGATATTGGCCTGGAACGCCGGCCGGCCCACCGTCTCAAAAAAATTTTGTTTTTCGCGAAAATCGCGTTTGTTTGGGTGTATTTCTTAGTAAACTGATGTTCTAGTGCAGTTAGCCTCTTCAAAATACCGTTTTCTCTTACTCAGAGACCAAAGAATACGACATGAGAGGAGTCACTCATTTATATAGAAATATTCCCAATGATCTCTAGCCATATCAAGGCCTATTTTATTCAGTCTAGAGTATGTAACATGTTTGTATGTTATTTATAGTGTTTATTATATCATATTAGATCAATTCTGATAGATAAATAAGCCGTAGAGTTGATATATAAGCTGATATAAGCGTAATAATGAAGTGATTTCACCTGGCTATCTCTGGAACGGGAATACCGCAGGTGTTCCCAGGTGCTTCCTGATTGGCTGGAAGTCTACGGATAAGCTCCGCCTACTCTTATATGATGCCAAATAAGCAATTATTATATTAGAAAGAATAATGAAAGAAAAAGCGATAAAAAACAAGGAAAAAATTCCAAAAAATATATGGGCTGTGAGCAGACGTGCTACCCACATCGAATTCACCATACCTGATATAAATGACTATAATTTCTTGTAGAAACGTCGTAGAACATTCATTCTGGTACCATTGTGTTGCCAAAGAGTTAAGCTATTTTTCGGTATATATATAATTCAATTTCCATAATTTTTCGATTTTCTTTGAGAGTGCGCGGAAAATTGCCCTACAGCCCCCTAGTCACTACCAGACCAGCCGGGCTGTGGTTCATATGTGGGGTTGTATGCGGCCAACAGTAACAGCCTGGTTGATCAGGCCCTAATCTACCATGAAGCCTGGTCACAGACCGGGCCGTGGGGGCGTTAACCCCCGAAACTCTCTCCAGGTATACGCCAGACTCAAGGAAACGTGATGTTTTGCAGCGGTCTGCTAAATGGCTGTTGAGAAATGGGATTACCAATTAAGCTTAATTTTAAATTTAAATTTAGCTGATAAAAGACAGTAAATCGTCTACACAGCCGCCCCTGCAGATGAGATCTTGAATTGTTGTCATGATCATCTCTCAACGGGCTGGAATAGATCATATTATGTAAACAATAATTTACCCCTAGGGGGTGTTATGTCAGCATATTTCATTCACTGATTGCTGACAAACTTACTTGTTTGGACTCCAAAGTCCGCACCTTACTGCCGACTATAGGTTGATTACAAACTCCTTGCGACTCAAGAACTGCGCAGTCCCCGGTACTACAAGAAATTCGTAACCTACCTTGCTCTTGTAGCATGAGCTATGGTGTTCTTCACACCTTCAACAGATATCGGTGACTTGATAGAAGCTGAAGTGTCCTTGGATGTCCACGTCTTCCATAGTCTAGGAATACGCAAACTGGTACACTATGTTCCACAAGATTTGTCTTTATTACCTGGAGAGAGTTTACCTGGAGAGAGTTTCGGGGGTCAACGCCCCCGCGGCCCGGTCTGTGACCAGGCCTCCTGGTGGATCAGCGCCTGATCAACCAGGCTGTTGCTGCTGGCTGCACGCAAACCAACGTACGAGCCACAGCCCGGCTGATCAGGAACTGACTTTAGGTGCTTGTCCAGTGCCAGCTTGAAGACTGCCAGGCGTCTGTTGGTAATCCCCCTTATGTGTGCTGGGAGGCAGTTGAACAGTCTCGGGCCCCTGACACTTATTGTATGGTCTCTTAACGTGCTAGTGACACCCCTGCTTTTCATTGGGGGGATGGTGCATCGTCTGCCAAGTCTTTTGCTTTCGTAGTGAGTGATTTTCGTGTGCAAGTTCGGTACTAGTCCCTCTAGGATTTTCCAGGTGTATATAATTCATGTAATCTCTCCCTCCTGCGTTCCAGGGAATACAGGTTTAGAAACCTCAAGCACTCCCAATAATTGAGGTGTTTTATCTCCGTTATGCACGCCGTGAAAGTTCTCTGTACATTTTCTAGGTCGGCAATTTCACCTGCCTTGAAAGGTGCTGTTAGAGTGCAGCAATATTCCAGCCTAAAATAGAACAAGTGACCTGAAGAGTGTCATCATGGGCTTGGCCTCCCTAGTTTTGAAGGTTCTCATTATCCATCCTGTCATTTTTCTAGCAGATGCGATTGATACAATGTTATGGTCCTTGAAGGTGAGATCCTCCGACATAATCACTCCCCGGTCTTTGACGTTGGTGTTTCGCTCTATTTTGTGGCCAGAATTTGTTTTGTACTCTGATGAAGATTTAATTTCCTCATGTTTACCATATCTGAGTAATTGAAATTTCTCATCGTTGAACTTCATATTGTTTTCTGCAGCCCACGAAAGATTGGTTGATGTCCGCCTGGAGCCTTGCAGTGTCTGCAATGGAAGACACTGTCATGCAGATTCGGGTGTCATCTGCAAAGGAAGACACGGTGCTGTGGCTGACATCCTTGTCTAAAGTCGGATATGAGGATGAGGAACAAGATGGGAGCTAGTACTGTGCCTTGTGGAACAGAGCTTTTCACCGTAGCTGCCTCGGACTTTACTCTGTTGACGACTACTCTCTGTGTTCTGTTAGTGAGGAAATTATAGATCCATCGACGACTTTTCCTGTTATTCCTTTAGCGCGCATTTTGTGCGCTATTACGCCATGGTCACGCTTGTCGAAGGCTTTTGCGAAGTCTGTATATATTACATCTGCATTCTTTTTGTCTTCTAGTGCATTTAGGACCTTGTCGTAGTGATCCAGTAGTTGAGACAGACAGGAGCGACCTGTTCTAAACCCATGTTGCCCTGGGTTGTGTAACTGATGGGTTTCTAGATGGGTGGTGATCTTGCTTCTTAGGACCCTTTCAAAGATTTTTATGATATGGGATGTTAGTGCTATTGGTCTGTAGTTCTTTGCTGTTGCTTTACTGCCCCCTTTGTGGGGTGGGGCTATGTCTGTTGTTTTTAGTAACTGAGGGACGACCCCCGTGTCCATGCTCCCTCTCCATAGGATGGAAAAGGCTCGTGATAG